GATGTTGTAAGTGGCACAGTGAAATAAACCAGCGTTGAGGCAGTGCAGCATCTTATCTTTCCTCAACCACTGAGCAGTAATGTGACAATGCAGGATTTCACGGTTCATTGAACATCCACGAACCTCGAGGCCAACGCAGTTTTATTTATATCCTTGTGATTGCTTTTGATAACAGCAGACACTTGTAAAGATCAGTTCCGCAGGGCCACACCATTTTTTGATGCCGAGGTTGGCTTCTGGGTCAGTAGGAAAAGTTGGGGGAGTGAGGTTGCGCACAATGGTCAGTCAGATTTTGATATACGTTGAGAAACGATATGTAATGATGAAATGTAATGTGAGTTGAGGTTATACCTTAGTACTATCATTTCAAGTGCTTGTAAAGCATTGGATCGCTGTAGACTTCAAAGCAGTGTAATGCTACTAAAACCTTTTGGCACATGATCTTCAGAGATTACTTCTGAGACTGAACTTTTTTTGGTCTTTTTAAGCTATAATAATTATTAGAAGACAAACACTTTATGCACTTACATAAAGTTAGAGGACTGACTAAGAGTCTTTTTTTTTTTTTTAGGTAAAAATTGAAGCAACCGAGGCTAAAATATCCTGACTTGTATTAGTCTAGTCTGGGTCAAGGTCCAAGATCGCTGGATTTCCTATGATGAAACTAGAGTCATTTATAGGACCTTGTCTGGTAAATGCCTACATCTTTTAAACTCCTGCTCTGAGTAACAAAGGCTTTCTGTTAAGGATCTGAGGTCTGAAAGCTCAAGCTGAAACCGATGATGACATCATCAAGATTATTTTTGCAGACCGCCGCAGAATGGTTGAGTAAACTGATCTTGCTGAATGAAATCAGTGGTGTGTGCCTTTAAATCACACGACCTTTTAGAAAAACTAAAAAACAGCAACTTAAGCTCTGCTGTGCTGCCATTTTCCTGCATTTCCTACAGCCTCTTTGCCTGCCGGCAAACGCCTGTTTTGGCTTGATCATGTTGTTCTGCGACGCTCTGGAAAGGTAGCTGCGCTGTTGGACAAAGTTGCAAACATCCCTCTAATGTCACCAGCACCTCCAAGGCTACAACTTCCTCCCTGTCGATCCCATTTAAAAGTGTGTCAGTCAAAAGCGTCAACTAGATCTTACATTCTCGGCTGGAATCCCCAACGGGCAATAACGCTGTTACCTAGAGGCAAACCGCTCTGCTTTAATTGCTCCACTAAGAACCTATAATAGAGTTCTGAAACTTTGTTGCTAAGACACAAACCTCCATATGGTGAGTACGTATGTTGAAATAGATGAGAGGAGACGGATAAATACCTCTAACCTAACCCTGGATTTCTCACAGTGTGGAACATCTGTCAGCATAGCTTGATAGCACTGCCTGTGTTCCTCCAAAATATTGCATCTATTTATATAGAGAACAGAATTCTTCGCCCATAATAGCCACTGCTATCTAAATAAAGCTCACAGCAACATGAGATTCCATGTCATATAATTACAGCCCTGTAAACAGTCTGCTGCTTGACTAAAAGATTTTTGTGTTGCTCTCACATTACTCTCATGTTGAAAAGGCTATTCAGTGTCTAATAGATAGTTCCTTATCAGCACTAACCTCCTGTTGAGAAAATGAGAGATAATAATGGGGAAAACCTTTCCAAGCTGTCTGTGACGTCACTGCTGCAGCAATCCCACTCTCCCACTCGCATGATCACTTCTTTCTCTATGCATTTTCCTCTGCATTCTCCTTTTTTTGCTCACATCTTCCATCCGTCTTTTCTCTCACCCCCCCTTCTCCCATCTCTCGTCTCTAAATCACCATTTAACACGGCACTCTCCCTCACTCTGAGTCTTTCCCCTGTGCTGCAGATTAGACCCGGGAGCACAAGTCATTGTGATGCATTGCGCGTACAACACCACAGAGGAAGAACTGGTTATTTAATCTGCCTTAATAGGGTGGTACTGACTCTGTGCAGACATAATAGTCACAGTTATCAAGTGCTACAAATTTCACTTCAGGCCAGCAAACAGGCATGAAATACTGATAAAGAAGCTTGACAGGAGGGGACAATACGAGAAGGATTTGACTTTAAAATGCAAGGTCATCATCATCATCATCACCAAAAAAAACTGGTAAAAAACGATAAATTTTTTCATAAATTTACATTATCACATCATCCTCTTTATTACTTATAATTACTCCATTATCACTATCATTTCCACCACTACCATTATGACATTTCCCATTATCAGGCCAGCTTCCGCCACAACCTCATCTCATTTTGAAAGCACTGCATATGGTGACACTGATGAATGCTGACGTCTTTATTGTGAAAACCCCTACAGATGCCTAGTGACCTTATGTGTCTGGCCAGCAGGCATATGGCCTCATAGCGGGGATATTGAATGATAGAGGGAAGTGGCTGCAGAGCTCTTCATTTCTAACGGTGAAGCACTCAATAGTTCATAGACTCAGTATTGATGAAATGTTTAGGTACCTGCAGAATTTAATCATGGAATAAATGGCTTACAAGCCCAGTTTTAGCCATTATGTATCGAGTGTTATTGAAATAAAATTTGCCAAGGGTAACAGCTCATGCTAAGTGCAGGATTCATTTAATTTAATTTCACAACAAAATACACCTGGTGTATCACGGTTTAACATTGTTATGCCCCATGGAGATGTAAAGCTATATACAAATCAGCTTCATTAATTTGTTACCATTGTGGTTATTACGATACTCATAGTGCAAAAAAAGGATATCATTAAAGAAATAGTTTGACATTTTGGGGAAAGAGCTCATTTGCTTTCCTGCCTAGAGTTACAATAGGTGAAGAGATTGATACCAGTCTCTAAATTTTAAGATAGAGGTAGCCCTGTTTACACCAAAATAAAGAAATAATATGCAGGTTTTTAAACAAGGGTAAACCTGCTAAAACTTTTGTTAATTTATTTCAAACACAGTATAACATCCCACAAGTCCCGTTGTTCAAAACATGGGATAACTTCCAATTTCACAAAAACAAACCCCCAGGATCAGAGTCCTGGTCAGAGCCGCTGTAAATCACCTGGCCTCCGTTGATTTCGGAGGCTGTGAACCTGGTTCTGTTGCGTCCTTGCCCAGCTCCAGTTCTCGTCCTCATTCTCTTATACTAGCTCCTATGCTACTAGTGTAAACAAACCTCCACCTATCCTACGAGCTCCCAGTCCAGGTAGCCTGCTGACAGGACTGCTAAGTAGCTAATGGCAGCTAACACTGTGTTACATAAGCAAT